ATATGTCATACTTACAGGGGGTAGCGGTAAAAGCTGTCCTGATGCTAAAGCAGCCTGTGCTTCATGAATGTGATTCTGTAGGTCGATAAYGGTAGGGAAAAAGGCTTTGTTGTGCCTTGGTGGTGGATCTTGGCCAGTGTATAGTTCTTTCTCTACATATTCCTTTAAACAATGCTTGATTGCATATACCCCAGTAATCCCCCTAGCAACAAACTCATGGATTTTATCAGCTACTTGCTGGTTTAGTCTTTGTCCTCTACTGTCTGGACTCTGTGTTATGGTTATATCTTCAACATCATGATACTCGTGAGCAATAGGAAGTGGCAGTTGCACATAAAACCTAAGAACACAATGAATATCAAGAGATGGCAAAACATATTGCACATTTAAACCCTACCAATGCTTCTTATTGTTTGACTATAATACCATATAGGGTAACACCACTGTTTTAAAAATAGCATTGTGTGCAGATTAAAGATTATCATTATTGGTATATATGTAGGATATAACTAATTATTAGATCAAAAGGTCAAGTGGAATATGARCTGATAGTCCATTCAGCTGACAATGAGGTCATCCTTGGCCAAACTATAGCCTATCATAATTCCAAAATTCCAGCTAGCGAATTTATTTGAGTGGTGAAGTTATTTCAGTATCCAAACTATCAATGATACAAATTTAAAKTTAAGGAAACAAATTTTAAAAGCCATTTTTTATGTTTTTTTAGCTCTGTGTGATAGCCAATCAGAATTATGCTGGATTTGTCCATAGTTTTGTGGATACCAAAAAGATATGTTTTACTTTCAACTCCTCAAAACCAGTTCTAAACTATCGATGTTTTGACAMACTAATATGAACCTTGCTTGAAGCTTGATTTTTCAAACTATATCATTGCATTGCATTCCCTTCAGAGTGGGTATTTACAATACCAGTAATAAGGATTTAGGAATAATTCCTGGCCTACCTTTCTTCTCCACCTGTCTCTACACCAGCAAGTCTTAAATGAGTCAATGCTCTCTCTTGTGCTTGTCTTACATTCTTGCCTTCAAGGTTGAGGTCAAGGTCAATCCTGTACTCTGGAAACTTCTTCACCTTTTTGATATATATTCTTGCTGGGCAAGTTGGTCTATGGGCTTTCTTTAAGGCATTTCCTTGGCTGTCAAAATCTGTAGATTTTTTACTGACATTTCCTTTCCGTCTTGGACCATACTGGCACTCCATGACAGTTGCACGGCGCCCTGGTTAACAATAACAAGTTTGTGAGATGCGCAGCCTGTATAGTAGCCTTAGTAGATGGGTAGGTGTAAGGTAGAGCTAGAAAGATGGGACCAAGGGCCTGGGGAGAGGAATTCAGGCTAAAAATACCAGCGATGCTTGCTGGATCCTGTAAGGGTAAAAATTCATGATCGGRAATCTTTTAGGGTTCAAATTTGGAGTTTCTGGATTTGCATTTTCTGCAATCTCTTAGGGTCACGTCAGAAAATAAGAGAAAGAGCCCATCGAAATTGATTTTTCTCGCAGGGCATGGTTTTATATAATTACCTGCATACTTTATATTAAAGGTTGTTAGCAGCATAATTTACACTAATATTCGTCAATGTGATTGGCTCCAACATGTGGTATACCATTTTTTTCTCCACAAGAAATACAGTGAGTTAAGTGAGCATCAGGTTGAAGGTTTGACAAAAAACTATTTACCAATCTGTCAGATGTGCAACAATATACTCAAATCTCTTGATCGTTCAGCCTCAGCTGATTAAAATATCCGACTTGCGAATTACGCATCAATAGTCACATACAAAGGAATCAAGACGAGGCGCCGTGCTAAAGACAATAGATTTTTCACAAAAAAGCACGGCGCCTCGTCTTGATTCCTTTGTATGTGACTATTGATGCGTAATTCGCAAGTCGGCTATTTCCTTGACCTTGATTTCTTCAGGTGATCAGATTGCTTATTGTATTGCATTGCTGCAYAACCAGTCAAGTCAAAATTCATTGTCAATCAATCCATGGCCACTATTTTCAAACTAACAGGTGATTGGTGCTGAGGTACTTAATGAGGGGTATTGAATGGTAAAAACCCGAGCCTTRCCAAGCCTTTGGCTGAACGCATCCAATATTTTGGCGATTGCGATCTTCCCAGCAAAAAAAGAATTTTAAATCTGAGCCCCTTTCTTGTAAGCGCCAAGCTTGCAAACGTTGGGAAATTTTAAGCAAGCCTCTTGATTTCTGAGACACCATTCTTTAATGCCTGATTGACTTTAGTTGATCACTAATTGCATGAATTTTGTATCAGCTTGTTGCATTGCATCGTAATGATTGGCAATATAAAATATGTAAATGAAATGGCAAAAAATTTTAAGATATCTCAACAATAGCAATATACCGCTTTCACATACAACAAGGGTTTACCTGTATTCAAGAACGGGATGCCATCATATGGTACATACTGRGACTTCCACATAAGTCGAATAGATGGCTTTGCAGAAGATGGAGACTGTCTRGTTCCCCAACAACTATTGGTCTGTTGTTTATGTAATGTCAAAATAAGGTCAAGCTCAACCTCATTGGTTACGTACCCTCTGTAAGAGTCGCCAATAAGCTCGCAGTCTCGTAGCCGGCCTGCCCAGGTAGGCAGGTTAGGGTTTAGAGCTGGTATAGGCGACATAGTAGAAAGAGACGCGACGGGTACAATTTCTATAAGTTCACCTTGACTATTACTAACTATTGTTCCTTCAGCGGACATGGTAATGGCATTTGCTGGCAACGTAACGGCTTCAGAGTCTTGTACGATATTTTTTTCTGCCATTGTTGGAGACTGTAGAATTTGTTGATTTGTAAATTCATTTGTTTCGGGTTGGTGACCCGCGATGATATTAACTTGAGTACTAACTGAAATAGTCTCGCTGCTACTCATAGATTCAACACTTGTAGCAATTTCTTGAGATAGATTTTCAGACTTATAATTGTTCAGTGTATCCGTGGTTGCTGGAAGACTATCTATAGTCGTAGCAACACAACTTGCAGTGGTAGGTGTTGGAGATTGATCTGTCGCCATAATCTGTTGAGGCAAAACCACATTGTTCAACGGCTCCGAGACGGTYTCAGCCATAGCCGATTTGTAAAGCGSGTTTTAAGTATAGTTTGACTGCACCAACCCCTGTCAACGAGTTGAGAAGGCTTTTCCCTGTGTTTATGCTTCAAAACGAGACAATTTTGGCTAAAAATAAAGCTCTACGGCCTCAGCCTCGCTCCAAAACAACAAGAAAACTGCCTCGACCGCGTGGCGAGCAAGCAAACTGGGCCGTGAAGCATTGTGGGATATAAGCTTGGGAACATGGGATAGAACAAAGGCAGCCCAACAATAGATCGGCTTCATGTTATTTGAAATCTCTGCTACTTTTGCGCAGGTAGCTTGGTAGAAGACTTTGTGAATTCCTGTTAAATAATTCCTTCGCAATTGATGATTATTCTCTATTTGTGTTKTTATTTGCGTAAAATATTTTTAAATATGATTTTAGAAGAATCTCTTAAATTTTAATTTGCAATCGGGAGCCCATTATTATTGTAATTGAACAAAGCAAACAAATCAATCCACMCAAAAAAGAGGGATAAAAAAATAAGAAAAGAAGAAAAAGGAGAATTCGACAGTTCTGAGATTCGAACCCGTGYCAACGACCTCGAAAAAGATTGGGACGATTCCCCCGAGACATTCTGTGAAGCTGAGGCGTCGAATCGATTTACATTACGGTTAGAGATTTCGGCTCTTCCATGCTATCCCGATAATTGGTCCTAACTTCGCGCTAACTAAAAAAAGCCAGTGAGGGAGAAGCTATCCGGCCCCTAGACACTGATGGATAACCCCTTGCACTAACTRGGCAACTATCGYAAWTATTATGTCAAATTGGGRTAGTCTATTCGGCGAAAGTGCCAAGTGGTCTATTATTATGTAAATGAGTATTGTCCAGTGGCGCACATCGTTAAGGCGCTGTATTTCGATTCAAAGGTCTYGGGTTCGAATTTACCTCTTGCGTACAGATTATCCTGTATTTTTTTAATTAAATTTTGCTATTCCTTTTTTTAAGATACTCATATTTTTCATTCAATTTCACCACACAGTTATGTAACCTTTTTTTTCCGATGTCATTTTCGTCCTAGTTTAAAACCCTGCAKCTCCCWACCCTAGGCCACGATTTAGCGAGCTGTAGACATCAGAAATAGTCATATTCAGGCTACCTTTGGCATGACAAGGCGGTTCTGATGTTGATTAATAGTATGAAGCTATCAAGTARAAAAGGGTATAAAGGAGCAGGGGCGGATCCAGGATTTTTTTTAGGGGGGTGACTTTTGATTTTTTAAGAGTTAACATATTTAATTTTCCTGCCAAACGAACCAAAGCTCCGCGAATGCATCTGTGTTCTTAGATGCCCGAGACGCTAAAAAGTGTTTGTCCTTTTGAAAAGTGTTGTTTCTCGAAATAAACCAATTATTTCCCTATTTCCTTGATATGAATATTTTTATATTCAATTTATCCAGGAAAAAGGGGGGTGAACGTTCACCCAGTTCACCCCCCTGTATCCGCCCCTGAGGAGCTGGGATCGTTCTAGTAATCCAGTGACAGTCATGACATTCGCTTTACAATATAGTATGACACTGTTTGAATCGTGTGACTATATTTGTGTGTAGTTGTCACTCAAAGAAGTATGCCTTGTTTCTTGCAGTTCCGTTCCTGTACTAGCTCAGTTTCCAGTCAGTTCCTTTTAACTAGACGCTTTGAGAGCGCTAACTCGGATGACATCACAGAGCAGTYACTTGGCTCTAATAGTTGAGTTTCGCGATCTCTTTCACAATGTGTTAGCCTCACTTGTGTGTAAAATGATGAAGAAATTTAGATAAAAATCATGAGATTTCAAACTATTTTAATTGTCATATCTTGCATTTGCTTGTTCTGACACTGAACAAAAAAAATGTAATAAATGGTTTTGAGGTTAACAAGGTGTAAAAGAGATCGTTAAAAGGGTTATTGTACCCCCYAGGTTTGACTGACATTGAAACCGAAATAASTTGCATTCCTTTTCAACCYGCAGTYACATGATATATATCACATGACTAAAAGGACACATTGACAATAATATCATTGCTAAAATTTGACCAGACACAGAAGTATGTAGCCAGACATTAACTTGAGAGAGACAGGGTATGTCAACAATATCAGATGGATTTGGGTTTCAAATTCATGATGGGGTGTTGAAACCAACTGAATGTTTTAACATATGTTCGAATACGCCAGCAATGTTCATAGCTATAAGACAAGATATACCATCATCAAAATATATAAATAAAGGAAAAGTGAAAACAAATCCATAAACAAACTATATACTTTATTGCTTGTGATATCTGGAGTGAGCTATAGCAGTATACACCTTGTCAAACTCCGCCGATTTCCATAAAAAAAGTTGAACATTTATTGTCCACTCAACACTTATTACTCTCTCGCTTCCCTTCAACTATAAATTGAAGTACTATATTATTTCTTCAGAACAAAATTACATGCATATTTTAGTASAAATTTCCGAGTTTTTTTCGCTTGAAATCTGTGAAAAGCACTTTCTTCTGTAAATCATGAAATAACATGAGTAATGAAAGAGCTTCACTATGATTGCAAAGATTTCTGTGACACAGAATCAGATAAAAAGAAAAAGTCAAATTAGAAGGAAGTGTGAACTGTAGGCAGCCCAAATAAAAAGGCTATACTTTAATAGTTATTAGGACYTGAAGCGCCATATGCATCCAGGAAGCTTTGCGTGATATTTCACACWCGAAAAATCGCCATCTTTCATTTTTAACCTCCAAAAGGAATATTTCAACAAGAGATAATTTGAAAAACATAGCAAACGATCGCAAATGTTATTGGAGACACGTGGGGATTTAATCAGTCACTTCTCGGAGAACCTATCCTGTTGTATTATATAGGCATTGTGACAAAGACATAAAACCCGTAATCCTCACACAAAAGTCGAACGATGCTTTGACGTAATGCAACGTCATGGTAACAATTCAGCTGAATTTTGCAATCTATGGAAATCGAATGGCTGTTACTGGTATAGCAATATAAACTTACAAGCGGTCAGTAAACACTATAGGCTGGACCAATCAAATAGCAGAAAGTAATTTTGGCGGCAATTTTTTAACCTATCAGAGTGCGGATAAGCACCTATCAACAACAGCCCGTGCATCTCCACTGTGTATTTCTTATATTTTGACCAATTGCACATGGTATTTCTAGACATAATTACCGCAAATGTATGTGTTTATCAAACAATTTATTTGAAAACGTTTACGTATTCACTGCAAAGGTTACGAGCCGAAGGTTAAGAGGGGCAGAAACCATTTAGAATGGCAAATCGTCAGTGTCTACAAACACGCGCGTRCCATCATGGTATATCCCTAGCGCTATAGTGCCCTGGCAGTCAGCCCTGAGAGAATCTGAATAATGGCTGAGAAATTGTGAATAAAAAAACTTGGTTCGAGCAGTTAATTGCATGGGCGTTTGTCAAATATTTAAGCGAGTTTCCCAGTCTGAAGGATTACGAAATATATTTCATTGTTGCATCAATCTGAAAGGCAACATCTAAAATCCCAACTCAGTGATTTCCGTCTGGATTTTTTTCCTGCTAATTCTCATGCAAATATCTTAAAAAATGGTAGTGATAAGTAGAGTAGCTTTGACCGGCTTTCGAATCAGGACCAAAAAAGCTTGAAAATAAAATAAAATTGCATGTTGTAAATGCCATAAATCATATTTTTAATTCGATAAGGTTTTCACATACAGATCAATYATTSTTMTAGAGGAATTGGAATTGTCACAAAGCGGTATAGTGACTTCAGTTAATCACTGAGGCGATCTAAAGGAGTTAAAAGATAACTTATCTCAAAAACTATCAGTAGGAATTCGTTATATTACCGAAAAAGAGTCTCGGATCGATGGTTGCCTAATACTGAAGTATCGAAATGCTACTCGTTTGTTCCTTGTGTGAACACACGCACCTTTCAACGACTCAAACAAAATAAAATGTTGATATTCACTCTTAACAATATTATAATATTTGAAAATTAATAATTTTTTCGTTACTTATAATATTTACCACATGCAAAAAGGCTCAATATTTGTAAAATCATCTAACTGATGTATAAAAGATTAATTGTTCTCGAACATTCGTATGTAAAACACCTATACAAAACCACCAAGAACGTTTGAATAGCTTTTCRTCACAACGTAGTGGGAAGACTTCGTTAAAATAGATGTTTACTAATAAACACTGCTATTATGCACTATGTATATGAATACTTATGTTTGTGTACATACCCAATCGCAAACATGTCATTATGAAAATAAGAAAAATACGAATAGATATCAATTAAARAACAAAAATCGACATCAAGCCCGATTGATGATCTTTATTTCTTTTAATTAATTCATTTTTTTGCTTATTCTATATTTGTCTGGGGTATTTGGATTTATTTTATATGCCACTGACTGCGCGTGTAATTATAGTACATCGGAATAAAAACCCTGTTTTGATGTCTTTATTACTAGATCTTGACCAATTGACTAAATCAACCTGTTTCAGGAAAGAAGTAATGGTATTGGCTGTCAATATATCGTAAAAACCTTACTATACAGGGTCAATATACTGGTAATGAGAAAAAATCCTCACAATATTTACTATAATTCCAGCAGACAACATTCTTTCAATCCAAACTTGTTTTTGCTGCGATTTCTATGTTGTCTTTCATGATTTTTTTACATTTAGCCTTTTTTGGTAAAAAAAATCTATTTGATTCCCCTCGACATCAAATTAAATTTTATTGTCGCTATTAACAACAATGGCAGGCAAAACAGTGGATATGACAAAGCCAACCGACTATGATATGCAATAAGATTAGCTGAATTTTCAATATTGAAAGCAGCGATTTGATGGAGAAATTGTATTATAAGCTAAAAAAATGAATGGTCGGTGTCCTCAACTTTTGCCGATTCACAAAGATGAAAAGAGTTTTTAGCGGCCGTTTTGTAGATTAAATTTGTCCTGTTTTATACTGTTGTAACGTGTTGTCAAAGCTTATATATATCATTACGCTTCTACGCTGATGTTTAGTTACAAAAAAGGCTMTTTATTGAACTATTGATGAACTGTTTTTCAGGCGCAAGTTGTGTTCCGTATCACACAGAGCAAATAAAAAGGCTAATCGGAAAGAACAAAGGGTTTTCGGGGCTATCACCTTTCATATTTACATCTTCAAGCGTTAAACGGAAACACAGCAAAAACAGTTCTTCTTTTTCTGTTGAAGAAAAAACACCAACTTAAAGGTTACATATGGGTTATTTCTTGTAAAGGCTGGTAAAAACGATTAGTGTAGTTATAGCCTTGTTCTGGCAATAGCTCTCAAATTTATAATTATTCAGTATGCACATTTATCGTCCAATTTCATGGCCGCTGTAATTCTTTTCCCGATAAGATGACGTCATAAACTCGAAGTGATCAACACATCGATTCTTTTCAATGATATATTAGTGAACGTGATTGGTCAACAACAGTTCCCCCATAATGCCGCCTGGTGTATGTCTTCCCTCTTCTCAAACGAAGAGGATATAGTCCTTGTTGAATGCCTTGTCTCGGCTTGAAAATGTTGAATTTTTAGCAGAAAATACTATATTTCACCTGGTGCAAACATCTCCAGGCATCGATGGCAAGATTACCTGATTTGGGTTTTCGTCGGGATTCCGTCCTTCGGGATAAGGAACGCGAGCCATACAATGGCTATATCACTGCCACCGTGCCATCGATTGACAGAACGAATGTAATACCCTGGACTTTTTTCAACGGAAAACTCAAGTTTGGCCCGGTTGAATCGGGAGGTGGTTTTATTGTTTTATGCTTTGTATGGCTGATATTCGCCTCTGTGCCAGAAAAATGGATAATGGTGCTATGTTCGTTACTACAAAGCCTGATAACAACTTTTCTGCCACTTGTCTGTTTGGTGTGTGTATTTTATTGGGCTGAGCTTCTTATTCAAAAGTACTGCAATAGTCGGGTTTCATTAGTGATTTTTCCAATTTGTGCGATTGGAGAATTTTGTACACAAGTTCTTTTTGACGGCTCCGATATCCTTCGAGGTAGCTTTTTGTTTACACTCCTCCTAGCGGGCTTGGTAACTGCAACGTTCTCTCGTCTAAACCTCATTCCAGCGACTGTGGTGCTAGTTTTGTTGACCCTAGCTCGATTTTCTTGCTGGATCACTCTTTATGAAGTTCATGGCTGGTTTCGGCCRTTCTTGGCGTACTTTGCAGCCTTTGCAGGTCTCGTATTATCAAGAAATGTTCAAGATTTTTTCGCTCAGGGTCCTGCCGAGGTCGAGAGCAAAGTACCTATGATACGACAACGAACTMGAAGAAGCTCGAGCGTCTCTTCTACAAGCAGTCTTAGCAGCAGTAGAAGAAGGACATCGCTCCCAGCTTTGGGCATTCAAAGCAGGGTATGTAAAGCTGTGTCGTGTCATTATTAGTATTATTATAAATATTGCAATTCTTGTTTTATTATTTATCTGAGATGACTATCTTAACAGCCGCCATAGGTCTTCGCATTGCTTCTGTTGTACTGTCATATCCAACCTGTTATTGGGCTTCTTTGTTTTTCTGATCGCTGCCCAGAATTTATCACCCTGTATGTTTACTATCTCCTTGCTATTGACACTACTAAAATCGGTATAAGTTGGGTTCTTTCAACCGCATACAATAATGTTTAATTTACAGGTACGATTCACTAAACCAAAACGATCTTCCTTGACGATTTATTACTAGAAAATGGCAGTTATCAGACAACCCGAAATGGTCTCAATCTTAAGAATGAAGGGGTCATTGTATTAAAGTTTTATAAGAGCGGATGAAAAAAAATCAAAGAAAAATATTCTGTCATTGGTGTAAGGCACTTGTACATGAATGTTTACATTATGCTAGCTGATTGAGAGGTCGCGCGACCACAATTCTACAATTTGAATAACAAACGAATAATATGTCCTAGTTGAACCATTCATATGAATTCTAACGCAAACCAACCCTTATATTTGGTATATGTCGGCATATTATTAGCGCGAAAGGACCTGAACTGCCATTAAGACCTGAATATAATCACCTAGGCAATGCCTGTCAAGAAGTCTCGTATTTTTTTGTTTTGTTAGATTTATGAACAAGGAATGTCAAAGTAGCCATAAATGTTGTATAGATTCGTTTACAGAAGTACAACTTTCTCATTTCTGTCGAAGCTTTTGTTTGACCTTGTGTTTTAATTGAGCCCTGTAAATAATATAAACAGCAACTGTTCCCTTCCCACAAATCCAAATCTCCCATGGCTTTGACAATTTATCGTGAATAATGCTTTGAGAGTGTACATTTAATAAGAGTGTAAAACCCTCGGCCATCGTTCCGTAACATTCCGTAATCCTTGGCTTGTAAACATGTTTGTCTATGAACTGACGTTCGAAAAATACTTTCGAATTAAAAGCGTAGAATTCCATCTCCTTAATCTTCGAATCGCAGAGCAGATGTTGGAAATGCAAACACTAGCAAATGAATAGAGGCTTGTATATACCGTGTTAGCAGCTTTTGCATGCGCGGCCCGTATTTCATTTGTAAATACTCTACAAGATTTCCATTTCAAGTGGATTTCATTGATCTTTATTTTACTTGCCAGGCTTGGTCAACAGATCATCTTAGCACTTATATTTTTTTAAGGGCCACATATCCGAAGCTAACGCTAGATCTTCATCTGTCTCAACCTATTCGTGTATTGAATTTCTGAAATGAATCCGGCATGTTTTTTTGAGGTTTTAATTCGCATATGATTCCTCGCAATTTGTCAAGTTGGATATATTTTATTGTCATTTCAACTCTGCATGTTGTTTTTCTTATTCAAAATAGTCGATCTGTCTCGCTAAATTTGTGGCATGTGGATTGTAAGAGGTAAAGAAAAAGACAGATTTTTTTGTTGTGAATCGGAACACTCTCAATGTTAGGAATGCATGGTTAGATTTTTTTCACGAGTCTGTTGATAGATGTGCATCCTTACGTATTTGCAAGCGACTTTGATGTGAGGGTTTTAAGAGCCTATTTACTTTTGAGGTCTTATATACATAAATGCGATTCGGAGCTTAATGAGTTCAAATTAGGGTGGASTCTGTATTCAACATGCAGATTGAACAGTGTGTAGACTGAGCTTTATTATATTGCATCCCTGTTTCCTCGCGCTGGATCAACAGAAATAATTCATTGTTCTTACGATAAATACGCGTTAATTTGAAGTTGTGTTATTTCAAATTATTTGTTGTTGAGCCCTTACATAGTTTTGAAAAGTGCCACTGTCCTTCGCCCCAAACAGATTCCACTTAGATCTTAATTGATTCTCTTCCAAAGCATTAAAGTCAAACTTAAGATCTTATCTTGTACAAAGCAACAGAAATATCCTTTCAGGACCAAAGATATTTGTTGATGTACATACAAAGCTTGTAAAATTGTACAATATTGTTATATTGTATAACTTTGCTTAATGACCCCATAATCAAGAAAGGAAAGCCAGCACAAAAGATAGTATACAATAGTTTGGTTGTCCTTATTACAGTAAATATTGGTGCTATTTTTGTGCTAACTATATTTTCAAAGCATAAAGTACAAAGTATGTTACATCCTTCTTAATTAATGCTTTTAACACTGATATAAACAATAGAAATAACAACATCACAACCATAAAATGAATTGTATTTTGACTTCTACATTTCACAGTACTTATGGTTTGAGCTAGTGTGGTAAGGAAGTAATTAAGAACAGCTTTCCAGTAGATTCTGTATCACTGTGTTGATTGTGAATAATTATATGGATCTGTTGAATCCCTTTATGATCTCTACCATATGTATAGGATTTGAGGCTTTTGTGCAAGTGACTTAGTTTGTAATCTACATGTTAAATTGTGGATTGTCCTTTGTTTAAAATAAAAAACATTCTAAAATGCTCTATGTGATTATCACGTATGCACTAATTTTGATCATATATCAGATTGAACTCTGTTTGTCAGATTAAGGCTTACAGTTAACTATTTTGCTGTTGGTCTTTTTTGGCTCAYRACTTTTTTTTGTAGCAATGAAAACAATTATGAGCTCATGTATTGTCCCTKTTTTAATGTTATATCAAAGGTCTTTAATTATCAAACTGAATTTGTTATTGAGTTTATTGAAATGAAGCTATCTATTTTGACACAAAATTTAATGAGATACAATTAGCAAAGACTTTRGTTTGTGGTTATTACAGACTGTCAGCAGGATGATTTAAGCACTCTTTACTATTACCAGTAATTACATGGAATAATATGCTGTGACAGCCTTGCACCAATTACACATTATAATTGAGTGACAATAATGTTCCCTTATATAAATCATAACATTGTTGTTCTTATTTGGCATTTTACTGGCTMATGATTCATGTTTTTGTAGATGAATTTATACTAAGAAAAACAATATGTATCTACTTTTCACACCACTAAAGCTATCTGACATTTTACTAAGTCATGATTGACGTTTCAGTTGGTCCATTTCATACCAAGAAAATATGAATTCCTATTTTCTGTTCACTCTACTTTTCAGAATACTGAAACATGCAGTCCTTGTTCCTTCATAAATTAAAGTTTTGTTATTATCTGAGTTTTTTTACATATAGTAATACTAATTCAGACTCCCTATATTAACCTGGTTTCTTGTGTGTCAGCTTATGTCATTTCTCAAATACACATCCCTGAATAAATTCATCCCAATCACAGCTTTCGGTTGGCACTCTAAAACAAGCTTACATATCTCTAAATATGAAACTTGCAAGAGACATTGTATCGTGGTAGTTGTTATATTGTATTGTATAGTTTAAATTAGTTTCATCTTGGCTAGTTCAAGTTACTGGTTCTACCATGAAGTGAACAAGTACAAAGGGTAGTATGTTACCCTACTTAGCAATCTGATTTTACACTAGATCTGAATGGTCCAGTTTTATAAAAGGTAGAATTTTACTAAAGAATGRGCAGAAAGTATGTAGCAATAACAAATAAATTTGTTGAAAAAGTGACCCTAAGATAATTGAAGTACAATAGTGCACCCATATGTTGATCCTGTGCTAGTCCTTATGATTGTAAACAAACAATTCAGGAATGGGCTTTGATCATGATAAGCCTTCCTGTCAGCTAGAGAACRTTATGAAGAATGAAATAAGAAAAACAAATTTGCATTATTTTGATTTGTAATGTTATAACACTGTAAACTTGAAAACAAGATGTTATTGAGTAACAGTTGACAGTTAGTTATTGGTTATAATTTAGTTGATATGATCTTTGTTTTTGCCTGACTAAATGCAGCAGGAGGGCATCATAAAGCCAGTCAATAGCTACTTAAATACCATCCACTTTTACCMTATTATCAATAGTGATTAACCTTATTGATCTCTTTAAGTGTCAATATAAGTGCTTTATTTGCTAAAAGGAATGCAGCATTACTTGTTTACTGCATATTTCCCATGAATGCCTACAATAATAGGTTCATCATTATACATAGAAATATTCTAAACATTTACAAACATGTACAACAATTGCTGTCAATCGGTGGTTAGGATTACATTGGCATTGCAATGATGAGCTGTTTTTCACAATTATGTATTGACATGAATTATTTTGTTAGAGTTATTCCTTGTGATAATGTGAAAATAAGAAGTTTAGTTTAGCCTGGTGATCTGTGTTTATTCAGCTGAATTCATCATTACTAAAGTATTCAGATATGAATGATTAATCTGTTTGTCAAATTCCATCTTCTACACTTATCACTTATAATAATAATAAACTTTATTACAGTCATTGCAAAGAAATACGACTATATTACAAATGTAAATATATATAATATATGATAAACTCTAAAATATGTACATTATGCTCAGAAATATGAAAATCGTTTACAGAATCAGTGAAACCAAAACGTTTTGATATGTAAATGCAACAATGTAAAAAGTCAGGACCAGTTCCTTAGTTGACACATAATTAAGTATGGTTGACATCAGTTAATTTGCATTTTCAATTTTCAACTGTGTATAACTCAGAAAATACAACTCAAAGTCAATTTCTTTCTTCACAGAAGTGTTTGTCAGTGTGTTATCGTTCAAATAAAAGTGATTTTCTAAAAGTTGTCATGTGCGCTTTAACAAYGTTTACATTTGGAAAAATTGCTTTAATGTATAGTAAAAATGACTCAAAATGTTTGGTTTTTCTTAATCATGATAGTAGTAAATATACAGTTTTGCTAATAGACTCTGTCAATCAAAATTCCCACAATTTATTGTCAATGTATATCTASACATTACAGGCAACCAGTGAATRTAAGAATTTGTGGGGAACTAAAAGCACAAAAAATTAAATTTGAAATTGTTTTCAAAAATAACTGAGATATGTACAACTAAGAAAAAAACATACTCTACTATTTATGTTAGCTGGTCAGTGTATTTTATAAAATCAGATAAAATTGGTAGTTGGTCACCACTCATTTTGTCTCTTATTGGCAGTGATTTAAATATTTTACTAAAATATCCATATKAGAACCTAAATTTTGCAATTGTTTTAACTCTGACAATTAAGCAGTACCAAACTGCAAACTTTTTAATTTTCTACACATTTTGTCTCTGAGACTTCTTCAGGGAATGATTTTTACAATAACTACAGTATTAACCACCAATATATAAGATATTTTGAATGTGCTTAAAGTTAGCTTTCTAGAGAAGTGGCTAAAATCTTACATGTGCTGGTAAAGCCGCTACTACACGAGTGATTTTTTGCTTGAACAGGGATGCAATTTTCTCAAAATCACCAGCACATGATTTGGCTACATTTGYAAATGAGCGACAATGCTGTATTGATAAAAAAAATCCTCACAGATACTTAATTGAATCTCTATACAAAAAGAGGTATATATATACAAAAACAGCTCAAATTTGATGTTCAGTTTTCATCTTACCCAAMAATTGCGTCGCCTGCTCAAGCAAAAAATCGCTCACAGCTTAATGGACGTGTATAACAACGACTTCAATAATGTTATTGTAATGTTGTAGATAGTTTGTAGTCTCCTCTCGCAGCCGTTAGGACGTTCGGTTCRTTCCCAGGTCACTTCCCCCTACTGGGAACGAACGTCCTAACAGCTGCGAGAGGAGACTAGATAGTTTGGGGACCATGTAATTAGCACCAATATGGCTGGTTAATAGTTGTAATTGYTCCAGGAGTTCTCATTGCTCACTAGTCAGAATTAAAATAATTGTTATAAAAAAAAATTGTTTTATAAATAATCTCTTGTTGAAAGTTTTTTTCTTATTGGTTCAAARTCACAAATGGTGATTTTTCAAAAGTGAGAAAATTTTAATGATGTTGCTGCACTYGGTTATTCCTGCTGCAACTATTATGAAAACATTATTGATGGCATATTTTATACAGCTGTTTGCTATATTAGAGCAACCTTTTGAAGTAGATTTTAATGAACKYACCATATAATAGTGATGCAATATGYCCTGATGAATAATACTGTTTKAATTTCAGAGTATGATAGACCATACTACATTAGGTGAAGCACATGGCATGATAACTGATTTATTAGCTGACTCYAAYCTAGCACCAAATGTTGCAAGCACTCTGAAATTAATCAGTACTATGATAGCTCCACCCACAGCATTCCACACACCACGCTCTTTTGTRCAAATGTCACCACTGGTRGAAAGATTCCAGGATGAAAGTGTGGCGGAGAAGGTCAAGGACCAACCTGACTTGAAGGATGACTCAGGTCTGCCTTCGGTAAGTTAGCTATTAGATATCACAATTTATCATATACAGTAATTATCCATGAAATACCTTACTTTTAAAAACTTGATATTTCACCATTTTCATGGTAAATAAAAGTTCCCTTAAGGTCTGGTGCCTGCAGTTTTTTGTTTGTTATTTTTGTTAAATAATATTTTTTGGGGGGAGGGGGAGGGGGGCAAGGGAAGAGGCATAGATTTTCATTAATTTAGCTTGCATGTACTTGTAGTGTGAACTTGTAGAAGCAAGGTAAAAGTTTTAACTAATTTTGCACCATTGCAGTGGTAATTTTTTGGTTTTGAATTTATTTTCCAAATAATAATTTTTTCTTTGGTGTTTTCAGCGGTTTCGTCGAAGTATTGCATCAGGTCGTCGTATGTCAAGTACATATACTACCACAACATCAGCAACAGGAATGCCAACAGTTGATCCTGACATTTCTATCCTTAGAACTCCTACAGTATCTGTCATCCATGATGGATCAAGCCTTGGAGGAGCAAGTACTGCTCCAAAAAGTCCCTTAACAATTGACTCAACATCAAGAGCACAAGATACTTTCTCAAAACATCGACCTTCCTTCTTTTCCAATAGTCTTCCATCACAAAATCCAAGCCCTCCGACTTTCTCACGGATATCGCCTGACCGTGCAAATGCACCACCTTCACCTAACTTTGTACGAAAATCTCCTGAAACTTCTTCATCTCCGAGTTTACTTCGTAGAAACTCTGATAAACCAAATTATTTGAAACATAGGAGTTCTGAGGACCTAAAAGATGTTATAGAGGATGTTGAGAATGAGGAAACAAAGAAAAGTGATGGCACTTGTAAGTGTCATTGTCACAATGAATCTATTGAGAATATTGATATTTCAAATGATGAAAATGAAAAAACATCAACAATTGTTCATGAAGACTTTCAACTTCTGGAAGATCCAAATTTAACACGACTTCTTGATAAACTTAATGATTGGAACTTCCCTATATTTGAAGCTTATAAATATGGAAATATCCTGGTGCAGGTTGGTATAAAGACAGCTAGATCCCCTCAGGCTTGACCACTTTCTTCCACATTTAAAACACCAGTTCATAAACTAATAGAATGTCAGATCTCCAAACGTTTCCATCGAACAATATTTCAATGGATATATATACGTATTTCAAAAATGGTTGTCGGATATAATTGCAAATGTCAGTTGTTGAATGGTAATTGCATGACTGAAAGTACAACTGATTTATACTGTAATCCATTTTGTCTCCATTTCTATGCGAGGTCAATACAATAAGTGATTTTTTTTGTCAAAACTCTGTAACCATAGTCCCTTTCAGCCATGCAATCTCCCTTTGACAATTGCCATTCAGCATTCTCACAGACAACGTTTTTTAAATAGGTTTATGACTTAATTATGTACAAAAAAAGATCCATAATCTAATGAACCCATTTATGTACTGGCGCTTCAAGCTTTGAAGGTTGTGGTTAAGTGTGAGGGGATCAAGCAACTGTACTTCATTCTACATATTTCACCATATAGATAAGATATTACATGGGCAAGCAAACTCTATCTTAGTTGATATCTCACAAGTGAGCATGGCCATATATAGAGGATATTACATGGGCACGCAGAAAAAACTAATTTTATCTTGGAATGTTCAATCGATATCTCTCGAGTCGAGTGAGTGTAGGGAATGAGTGAGATATCAATTGAACACAAGATTAATAATATTTTTATTATATACATATGGATCTATCGATCTATTATATAAATTATATTGATCCAAATGGTCGAAAAAACATGCCAACAGTGATATCTTCACATGTGAAAGATATGATATCTTTTCATGGTTCAAGATATTGCATTATACATCATCGATATGTTTATAATAAAATGAGATATCCTTTTGAACATGTGAAGATATCATTTGTCCCTATGAGCACCCATGTATATGTATAATAAAGTCCAATTTATATCAAGTCAAAAATAGGACGATTGGCACAGAATATTCATGTTAACATGATATTACTTTTTCGTGTGAAAGATGAACTTGTTATTTCAATCGGGGGCAATGTGCTTTCATAGTAAATTCAACAAAATGATACTTTTTCATTGGTTGAGAGGAGTACAATAATGGTGTTAATTGTATTCCTTATAAAATTTTGTTACACTGAATGTACTGTAAACAAAAAATCGCACAACCTCTCGTACAACTTGAAATTAATAGTCACTCGTAATTTTTTGAAAGTTCTCAAATTGCACTTGAATAAGAAAAACTTTAGTTAAGATGATCCCATATTTCGGCCATCCCATAATACTCTTTAAACCTATTGCATTGAATTGCAAGCATAATACCCCCATATCCATAGCGTTTATATTATTTAAGCTTTATTTCATTAGCAGGCACTTCACATAAAGGACTTCTATAATCATCTTTTTTTACAAACTGTCAATGGTTTTGAGTTCTATATCCTTTTATTGATGCACTCTTGAAATAATAAAATATTCAAAAGTATTCAAAAGTTTTGAACATTTTATGGCGTCAAGAGCATGTCAATTTTAAGAGGACTAAGAACGAGAATACCGTCCGTGTGAAATTTGTTTATTTACACATTTTTAGTCTAAAAATTAGCAAAAATCATTCAACTTGGCGCGCTAGACATTCGGTGTGTGAACTACACCTAATTGAAAAAACGTCAGGCTCAAAAACGTAACGTCATCAAAGGGGATTTTGGGTATTAGAAAATTTGATTCATATTTGCCTAAAATTGTACATTATTAACGTTAACATTCCGTAGAGRAGGCTATAAACTTKCAATGTAGAMTGTTTTAATTARATAGAACAMTGTTTTACACACAATATGCTYCACTTCGGTCCTTTGATGAAGTAATGTTTTTGAAACTGACAAGGCAATATGCAGCGATGTCATTTCGTGCAGCAAAGCATGATGGTAGTTGTAGTCCACGTACTGTTTTTGTCCGCTGAAACAATCCTTCTGAAATATGTTTGCTTTTTGTAAGCCAAAATAGATGTTGTTTTGCTGTTTGTACAAAGGCGCCTAAAAAGGCTTTAGGTAATATTTTATGTCTATTATTGTGAAGACTACAACTACCATCATGCTTTGCTGCACAAAATGGCGTCGCTGCATATTGCCCATGAAGTGAATGGTTTGACACTATTTGCCCCATTTTACAATGYCTGGTGATTTTATGATTATAGAACATTGTCAGAATGTCTGAATAGAGCAGTTAAGACCTTTTACATAAAACGGTCACATGGTACTAAATCCGCCATGCTGGGTGGCAAAATACCAAAAACAGCAAAGAAAAGCCAAGCTTGACGGGCTGCGTTCTGTGTTTTTGAGTTTGTTTATATTTTTTTGCTATCCAGTATGTCGGATTTAGTACCATTAAGTGACCGTTTCATGCAAAAGGTCTAATGCTATATTAATTATTTATTGCTACCGCTATCAGCATTACTTATTTATGGTCTCTTAGGTAGTTTTCATATTTCTGTAATATTGAATTTTTTCAGAGTGCGTACCGCATTTTCAAGAACGTTGGCTTTTTTGAGACTTTTAAAATTCCAGAGAGAAAATTCCTGACCTATTTTTATGCTTTGGAGTGTGGTTACCATGACATCCCCTGTAAGTATATCATTATCATCATAATTTATATAATTATTTTCTTTACTAACAGATTTTTTTCAGTCTAACTAGCCGTTGAATAGTGAGAGGCACGTCTTCTGTTTTTAATGAAAYGATTGTGATAAAAGGTGGAATTATGCATTTTAAAAGGATGAAAAACGTAYTGACGTGTCGGACGTTGAYCCTTGGTGTTAAGTGAAGAACGTCGTACGTATTTAACCTTTCAARGTCATWGTCACCGACCCTGGAAAGCAAAGGTCCGCTTAGAGGAAAACCAGAATAAGCATTTGAAGGAGAGAGTTTGTGGGCTTCCTTTAGGGACAACCGTTTGAAATTTAATGAAATATGTTCGAAACACAAACGGCTGAGTTACAATGCAGTAGATTTCTTTAAATATATAGATATCATATTTTTGTGAAAACGTTAGTCTGCMGTCCCATTTGCCCCCTTCCGTGAAACGCTCTGTCTACGTGTGGCCTTTTGCGGTGCGCAATTAAACCTTTTATCACTTAGGCGAAATTAATTCACTATAGCTGGCTGTTCAAAGAGTGATTAGTGTTAACCTCCTGATCAATCATGATTTCGCGGATTTAATAGACCTTTCACAAATTTGCTTGRATGATCACAGAAGAATGGTTTCAAGTCGAGACTGAACTTGATTCTTTTGTCTATCATGGCCGGCCTCGAACTGAAATCATTGTTTCGTTTTCATCAAGGCGAATTCGGGAAAGGTCTATTCATAGAAAGTGTATGTAAGGATCAACTTCATTCTCAGGCCGTGTAACCGTTACAAATAGGCACAAAATTATTACTTTTAAGCTTTTGAGGAGTTTTATTAGTGTCTTCCTGACTTGTAGTTATTTAAATCATGTGCGTTACTTTCAGGCAAAGCTCCACGAAATAGATAAAATGAAAAAAAAATTAACTGCATGCAACTGAAAATGAGCATCAATGATAATGGAATCAGTCCTGAAATAAAGGTTTATTCGAGTTCTATTTCATCTAACCCGCATGTCTRTATATTTCAGACCACAACTGTATGCATGCAGCTGATGTCCTGCATGGTGTCTATTATTTAACTACAGCGMAAATACCAGGCTTTTGTCCGCCTGGATCACGCCGGAAATTGGACAGCGATAGCGACTGTGATTCGGACAGCGGTATCACGTCAGTAGGTTTGGATGGGTCGAGTGATAATGAGGAGAAGAAGAGTGGTGGAGACTATGGCAGTCTTAGTGATGCTATCCCGCTATTAGAGTTATTGTCATTATATACAGCAGCAGCAATGCATGACTACGACCACCCTGGACGAACTAACGCCTTTTTGGTGGGAACCCTGTCTCCAAAGGTAACGACTGCGCGAATGGCCGAATAGGCCATTTGCATGATGGCGTAACTTTACTACAACTACCAGAAAGCCTTGCGCATTTTCTTTGTTATTCAGATTTTTAATCCCCTTAGCGATTAGTAAAACAATTGGCACTAATTGCATTACAAAAGAAAGTGGGCAAAGCATTCCGGTAGTTGTAGTAAATGACGCCATAATGCAAATCGCCTATTAGACGACACAGCGTTTGCCTACAACCATCGCATCCAGCATGCCTACTTAAGTCAATATGGCTACAACTGTAKTTGGGCTATTAAGCAATTTCTTTATAACAGCTGTTGCCATGTTGTACAGAAGTCCTGGTCAGGATGTATGTGATGTCATAGGCAAAACTATACAGACTGCCTCGATTAGTTAAACTATTTGMAGTCTGTACATGTAATTTACATTTTTAACTTGTACTGTCTAATTTGACCAAGAGTCATCCCGTTTGATCAGCAAAAAGCGCATCCGCAATTAAACAATACTGTGCTAATCCAATCTTATGCCTTTTCTTAGGCTCTTCTTTACAACGATCGTTCAGTCCTCGAGAACCACCATGCTGCAGCAGCATTTGCCTTGCTTATGTCTGATACCAAGTACAACTTTCTCTGTGAATTGAACAGTGCTGAGTTCAAGCGCTTTCGCTTTCTTGCCATCGAAGCTGTGTTGGCGACTGACCTCAAACGTCATTTTGATGTTCTTTCTGACTTCAATGCAAAGGTATCATAGATTCTATTTAGCTCAGTTCATGAGTTCGAGCCTTTTCTTTTTTATTTGGTGAGGGTGCAAAAACRTTGTCACAGAGAAAGAAAACATTTGTATTTAGTAAAAAGAAATACATTAAATAGAAAAAAAAGAAATAGTTCGGTCAGAGTGATCTTTTGTTCCATTTTATTCCATTTTACTAAAGTACAAATGTCATTTTTTTCTATGACAACGTTTTCTTAATTAGGTGTACTCACACTAAGGGCCTACACTAACCTTTTGTCGTGCATTCTCTATCTCGGTATCTGGTTTGATAAAACATCGTCTTTTTTCTGAACTATGTCCTTGGGACAAAAAACGTTTTTTTGGGGGGAGGGTACGTATATATATTTGTATTACATAACAAATACAAATGACAAAGAATTGAAACAAAAGACTTATTGATGTTTCTTCGTGCACAGATTGCTGARGGAGGAGTGAACTGGGACAATGAGGCTGATCGTCTGTTAACCCTGCAGTGTTGTATCAAGATGTCTGATATTTCAGGCCCAAGTAAACGACGTGATATACATACTTTATGGACGGAGCGTATCGTCGAGGAGTTCTATGAACAGGTTGGTTGGCTATACTGCTACAATCGTTGACAAAATACCTTTCATTGTTTGCATCCCATCCGTTCCCCTTTTGATAAAAGGTGCTTCTTGGTTTGGAGGGTTTTTTCGTATGATGGGGGGATGGATTAGTCAGAAAGTTTTGCTTATAAATCATCTTGAATGAGCGAAGCATTTTGGCAACGATTGTAGTTTGGAAACTAAAATAAACGGCTTTACGCATCGCGTAGTATCCCCTCTCTCTATTAATGACATACCGTAAATTGATTCCCGTATCTCTATACTTCATGAATAACGAAATCGGCTACCTTATTTTTTCAGGGTGATGATGAATTGTCACGTGGGATGCCTGTATCTCCTTATATGGATCGTAACCAACCACACGTGGCACAGCTACAGGATTCCTTCATAAACCATCTTGTGGCTCCATTGTATAACTCGTTCTCCAATGCTGGMTTGCTTCCTGGAGTATGGGTCGAAGAGGAAACGAGCAGCGCCGACACAGACTCGGAACCCGAAGATTCTAACGAAGATCCATTGTCGACTTCCGAAGAAGAACGAGTAAAAATAAAGCGGAAGAAACGCCGAAAAAACAAACGTCGAAAGATTCAAAGTGATATCGCWAACAACATACAGCGCAACTACAAAATGTGGAGACAGAAAGTGAAAGAATCAGAGAGGGAAATGGTGATGAATGTCAAAGATGACAAGACAGATGACGACGACGAAGACGATGATACTGGTCTCATGATGGCCGAGTCACCTCGACACGCAGATATCATCGAAGAAGAGGAAAATAGCTCTGAATGTAGCAGCAATACTGACTCACCCAAAGGGACTGATGACGACTGTAAATAGACTGTCAATATAACAAAAAATGTGTTTGATCCAAACCTCTGTGAGCCAAACACGACAGACAAAGGTACTGGTGTTTAATTTATATAAGGTCACGTAGCCTTAACGTATTATAAAATTATGCAAAGGTAATGTGTAAATATTGTAGACAATGGGTGGTAACCCTGGAGGTTAATATATACATGAATATTGTATAGTGAATCGACTAAATGACGCCCGGTTGGGTGTCCACTTATCTCTCTCCACCATAACTTAAGGCACTTAATGGAGAGAGATTAAAATTATTGGCTAAAACTGAGAGCCTACTTGCACTGGGTCACGTGATCATATCTTTCGTCATTTTACAATCCCAAAAAATTACAAAACGAATGAGGACTGAATATTACAACGTTTTATTTCAAAGTTCACAAGAAAATATGTTACAACACTTTTAATTGGTGATGTGAAGCGACACTATTTTTCGTACAAAGCATGACGGTACATGTAGTCTTCGACCGTGAAAATACCCAACCAAATTCGTTGTTTTCTTGTAAATATCAAAAGGAAACGCAAAAAAAAACCCAGATTTGGGGGATTGTTTTAGCAAACATAAAACGTGAAAGGACTATGATCTCCCATCATGCTTTGTACAAAATGGCGTCGGTACACCGTTTCCTATTCGTCTTTTTACTACATCWCCGGGATGCTTTGCGCATTTTTATTGTAATTTTATTTCCAAATTAAATATTGAACCATTCACATTATAGTAAAATAGGCACAGCATTCCGTTAGATATATCACAAGCCTTTCAAAATGCAAATTGCCTTCCCACATTTCTAAAAACAGGGCTTTGGGCATTGTTGGTTATTGGTGGTCGTAATGTTTGTATGTATTATAAAGTCACGCAAGTGAGAAATGATGGATCACTGTACACTATACAACATTGGCGAGCAAACACTTCCATAGTATTGGATGACATTAARCATGGCGTCCGTCAATGAAAAACCATTCAGAATTTCTTTGTTCTGTTGATGTTSAAGTTTTTTTCACCGTGAACAATATCAAATCGTTCAACGGTGTTGGATGGTATTGTGGTGATCACACATTTCTCAGTTTGTTGGRAATGAAAAAGAGACCTAYTGACGTCTCGATACCTCAATTGGGCTGGACCCCCTCAGTGTATTGAATTGATCAAAACCTCGCTTTGTTATGAAATTTTTCACTGCTATGGAGCATTGGCTATTGGCAAAAGAAAGAAGGAAGATTGTTAGTTTTTTGTTTCATTGAATACAGGGTAACTCTTGAATCGCAACCACTTATTTTGATCATTTGGATCGTGCTTGATAACGACTTGCACGATTTTGTTATGAACCACAACTATTAAAATGCTTTGCCTACCTTTTTTTTCTATTGTTTTACAAATCTTCGAAGGGGATAGACAGTTGAAGTGGAATGACGCCATCGTGTAAATGGTCTCCATTATTGGCTGTTTCATGACTTACGACAGCTAGTGTCKGATCGCGACATTTTCGCTCTAATAATAGGCTTTGAAAAAAAGAAATAGAAAAAGGAATGTGAAAAGTGGCATATTTTAGCACGCGATTTTGAATGGCAGAGAACGTTTATAACATCAAATTTCGGCTGTTGGACAACATGTTAGCAAAATAAACTAACCACTATTCATATTTCCTTTTTKTTATTTTCTATTTTAAAATCATTTCTCGATGTATGATGGTTTTTAACCGTAACCGTCAATTCTGTTTTTACTATTTGTGTGTGCTTTTTGTTTACACATAATATTTTAAAATAGTCATTGGCAAAAATMCCGACCGCTAACAAATATCATTACATTGACAGCATCATGGCTAACTTCAWGTGCTGTCTCGTCAAAACAGATCTTAAATCATTTGAATACTTTGAAATTATGTTTGTAGAAGGCTGTCAAGTATAATCTGCAGTTTTCTGGAAAATTCAAAGTTTATATTTGAAATATCAACTACCCTACATATTGATATATTTATATAAATTAACGGCCAGAATTTCTTCAATTGTCTGTTACTTCTATAGCAAAATTCACTGAAATAGACGTGAAATGCGTTTGTYTATTAACTTATGCTGTCATAAGAACAACGTTATTTTCAACTATGGTCAGCATTTTACAACTGTCCCCTTTTGTTGGGGTTTCTAAAATTACTGGTAATCAGTTCTCCTCGAATGATCGATTTTGGTCACTAGAGAATTGTGCACTTTTATTGCGCTGGTTRATCTAATATTAACCAATCAAAAAGCTATGACYGTTGAATGACCAATAAACGGTTCTCTTACAACGGAAAAAAAAAGCTTTATAAATTATTGTTCCGCAATAATATGAGTGCATGTATAGAAATGTTTGCAATAACATAAGTACATGTATAGAAATCTTTAAGCAACTGTAAATAAAATAGAATCAAGTACCACCTTTTCTTTTCTGAGGTGTATGATATTAATGTGCGGTTGGTTATGTGACTTTAGTGTTCGGGTTTCTGTAGGTTCTTATTAAGTTAAAGGTAAATCGTGTTAAATTGAGTGAACTATAACGACAAATTAGGAAAAAAAACAATACTTCTTTTAAGGACTGGAAGGGTTACTAGATCGGCTGACACGGTCCCCGTCTTGAGAGAGACAGTCTGTAGAGTTCCGTATTTGTCCTTAGAATGATACAGCAAGAAGTATTTCTATGATCTTTCTTCAAGATGGAGGYCGTGTCATGGAGTAAGGATATTGATTCCTTGTCTTCACAAASTCGTGGCAGCACATGACGTGACAAAGCACGCGATTCCACCATTACACAGGGCTGGAATGTAATGAAATGGGGGTCTGGCACTGCTGTAAATATTTCTCTATACTGTAAAATGAATGTATCTAAATGTCAGATTATTGAAATGTAATTAATAAAAGATACCGAAGAGCAGAAACGTTTTACACAGTC